CCAACCTTTTTGGCAGCAGGGACAGGTTTCATGGAAAAGGGTGAAAGACAATTTTTCTACGGGGCAGGGTGGGGGTGGCGGGTGGTTTCAGGACGAAACTTTTACACTTCAGATCATCAGGCATTAGATTCTCACATGAAGCACACAACCTAGATCCCTCACATGCACAGTTCACAAAAGGGTTTGCACTCCTATGAGAATCTAATGCCACCACTGATCTGACAGGAGGCAAAACTCAGCATTAATGCTTGCTATCACTCGCTCTGACACTCACCTCCCACTGTGTGGCCTAGTTCCTAACAAGCCACTGGGGTTGGGGATCCCTAATACATGGAACATAGAAGAAACAACCTGAGATAAGTGATTAATGAGAAGTAATAATCCAGCTAGAATAGGGTTGAGGCAAATTTTGCATTACAAAGCATGAATTCCAACAAGTAGAACAGAAATTACTTTCTATGTAGTCATACAAAAATGAAACTGAACAGGACTAACTGTAGGCAAAATGATCAAATGGGCTATTTTTTCCTTCTGTCTCTTCTCAATAGGATTATTAAGGTATGGTAACAATGATCAACATGCTTAGTGTAAATCAATTTCAATCAACCCTTGTCTGTTAAAGCCTTGTGACTAAAATATATAATGACAATTTTCACACCTCCAGAAAGAATTTCATGCTGGAAGCAGTGGCTGACACCGGTAATCCCAGCACATTGGGAGGCTGAGGTGGGAGGATTGCTTGGCACCAGGAGTTTAAGACCAGCCTGGGCAACATAGGGAGACCCTGCCTCTACAAAAAAATTTAAAATTAGCTGAGTGTGGTGGCACATGTCTGTGGAACCAGCTACTCGAGAGGCTGAGGTGAAAGGATCTCATTTGAGCCCAGGACATGAAGGCTACAGCGAGCCGTGATCACATCACCACATTCTAGCATGGGCGACAGAGCAAGACCCTGACAAAGCAAGCAAGCAAGCGAGTGAGAGAAAGAAAAAGAGAGAGAGGGAGAGAGAAAGAAGAAAGCAAGAATGAATGAGAGAAAGAGAGGAGAGAGAGAACGAAAAGAATGAGAAATTGCAGAAACAATGCATCAAGTTATGAGACGTTTCTGAGGGGTAAGAAAGAGTCTTCCCGTTGTCCCAGAGCTAATATCCAATTACCATGTTGCCACGAATACAAACCTACTTACGCCATTTTGGAAAACGTGGACATGGGGTGGTTTGTAGAATAAATCCAAAGGAAGTATCTGTGGTTTTAAGAAAATGTGATCTCTGCTTTCTTGGAAGAACTGAACCTACTATTGCTGACAAAAAGAGAACATGCTCTAATATGGTGGATTTACAGTTTATTCTGGCAATAGTTCTGGGGCCTTCCTTCTCCTCTAAGCCTAAAGACCCAGATGGTAAGGATCCAAAGCATCCAAACAATGGTACTTCTGCTTACACCCACACATCACTCCTTTAGTTGAGACAATTCACAGCCTGTCAGCAGGTGCAGTGAAAAAATGGACATGCTCTTGAAGAACCTTTCAGGGGGCAATAATAGAAGCCATAAAGCATGCCACCTCATCTATTTAGGAGATAGATCTAGAATCTCTAATTATCACTCCACGTCTGTATGACAAAAGATTCTTACGGAAAACTTTTAATAACAAAGCTGTTTACAGACACAGAAGAAGAAAATGAGAATAAGAGAAACTTGGACTGGCTACATAAGTTAATATTAATTATAGTAATTTCAGTGGAATCCTTACCCCCCTAAGTACCATGTAGTATGAAAATGATTATGTGTGCTATCAAATTTATCAGATCCAGCTGTAAGTGGCACTGAAAGGTTCACATGTGCCAAGTCGTGCAGCATGAGCATTTGTACACTTTCGTAACTCAGAGGGAAACCTAGGTGTTTTGAGTATGAAGATACGAGCTCCTAGTAAATAGAAGAGTGAATGATGATGAGGGAGTGAAAATTCAGTGACCTGGAGAGAAATTCTTCTTTGGACACCTTTTAAATTTTGTATGGAATAGTGAAGAGGCAGGCCAAATGATCCATAAAAGTAGTTTCTCTGCAGTGAAGGAGTCAGGCCATTGTAAGATAATCAGTAGTGCATACCAGGCAAATCTTTTGTGCCCAAAGTTGCTCATATTAACAGCTATGAGGCCAGAGGAAAACATCATGAAGCATTTGTGAAACTTTTAAAAAAATTCTTTTTTGTAGAGATAGAGTCTCACTATGCTGCACAGGCTGGTTCTGAACTCCTGAGCAAAAGTGATCCTCCTGCCTTGGCCTCCTAAAGTGCTGCAATTACATGTGTGAGCCACTGCACCCAGCCTCGTGAAACTTTTAAAAGGTAATCTACCATTTCAGTTCTTCCTATGGCAACATATACTGAAGCACAGCAGAGTGATAACAAGAGGAGACATTGGCCAGGTGAGGTGGCTCACACCTATAATCTTGACACATTGAGAGGTCAAGGTGGGCAAATCTCTTGAGCCCAAGAGCTCCAGACCAGCCTGGGTAACATGGCAAAACCCAGTCTCTACAAAAAAAAATTTTAAAAAGAGAAGAAATAATAGAAAGAAAAAACCATGCTCTGTAAGAAAAGAATGTCCGAAAAAGCTTAGATAGAGATAAAAGAATAAATTCTGTTTGGCAGAGCTACAAGAAACAGTTCAAGAAGGACAGGTATGAAATGAGAGTTGAGAATTAAGTAGGGTCCTGATTATAGAAAAATCCTAAGTTCTCTACTAAAGAGTTTGAAATTGTAACCTGAGAGAGATAGGGAGGTTACTGAAGAAAGCAACATGCTCCTATTTGCATTTTTAAAGATTTCTGTGAATAATGTAGGATTCCATTTATATGAAGTGGAAAAAAAAAAAAGGATAAACTAATCTACAGTGTAATGAGACAGACTAGTGATTACTCTCCAGGGAACGCAAAGTAACTGGAATAAGAGGAAGCTTCTGGAGGGGCTGGTATGTTGTTTATTAAAATGGATGCTTGTGACATGGGTGGGCTCAGTTTGTCAAAAATTCACAAAGGTGTAGGCTTAAGTATGTCCATTTATTTGAATGTGAGTTATACTTAAGAACAAGTTAAAAAGCAAAAAGATTACACTGGCTGCAGGTTAGAGAATGGGACTGAGAAGACAGGCAAAAGATTAAGAGATGCTGACCTGAGTGGGCAGTTGAACATTAGCCAGTGATCTAAAGCACCATGAAGGATTTGCTGGCTGAATAGCTATGGAAAATGAAGGAACCAAGAATAAAAAATGAGCTGAGGTTGCAGGTTTGAAGACTGAGGAAGGGCACAAAGGAGAAAGCCCTCTCCACCTCTAGCTCCTCATTTATAAGGTGAGAGTCTGGGCACAGTGTCTCACACTTGTAATATCAGTACTTTGGGAGGCTGAGGCAGATGAATCACCTGAGGTCAGGAGTTCGAGACCAGCCTGACCAATGTGGTAAAACCCTGTCTCTACTAAAAATACAAAAGTTAGCCGGGTATAGTGGTGGGCGCCTGTAATCCCAGCTACTTGGGAGGCTGAGACAGGAGAATCGCTTGAAAACCTAGGAGGTGAAGGTTGCAGTGAGCCAAGATCACACCACTGCACTCCAGCCTGGGGGGTAGAGTGAGACTCTATCTCCAAAAAAAAATAATAATAATAATAATAATCCTTAAGGTCTCTGAAACACCTAATGACAGTATTACAGTAAGAACTTAAACAGCTCAGAGACAAAGAGATGCCCAAACACTCCAGGGTAGCAGAAGACAGACTAAAAAAGATGTTTGCAATGAAAAAGCAAAACCAGACAAATGGTGAAAAAGAGTCAAGTTATATTAGTCGTCACTTAAGCAAGCATGTACCTTCCCAGAGGTGAGGGGGATGTAGGGGAGATAGAACAACTAAAATTAGCTCAAGAATCAGAAAGATCAGGAGATATCTTACTGATTCTTGAGCTAATTTTAGTTATTAGGAAGTATTAGCTAGTTTTAGTTATTAGGAAAAAGGCAGGTAGTATGAATTTGTAGGACTTCAAGTTAGTATAATAACGATGATCAGCCAGGTAACTGTCTGGGTTGACTGAGCATTTGCTGCGGCCTGTAAACACCTCCCTAACCTCCATTGTCTCTATGTTAGATGGGTGGTCATTCAAAACAGTAATCTTGTAGTTTGAATTGGTTCATCACATCAGATTAAACACTTACAGAAGTAGTTCACAGTAGATGAATGATCCAGGGAATTAAAGACTATGAAAAAGCATCTTAATAAGAGATCAAAAACAGTTCAAAATAAAATGATTAGCAATGTTCTAGTAATCACTGTTTCTTGAAATGTGGTATCCTATAATGGAAGGAAACTACTTCTGAAGTAGAATGAAGAATAGGGGAAAAGATTTTTCAAAACTTTACATATTCATGTTTAGAATTACTTAAAATGTTAAATTAACACAGAGAGGAAAATAACATTCTCATGTCTTCTTAAATATGCTCTGCAGCTAATACTATAAATAGAAAAAACCACCCCCAGAAAAGCTGGCAAATTCAAGAAGAAAAAGAGCTATTTTAGGGTCTCTCTCTCCTTTCAGTCTGTAAGATCAGGGTGAAGTATTTAGGCAAGGAAACGGGTTTTTGTCTTGAATATCATAAATATTTCAATCTGATAGAAATTATTGGAACAATAGTCCAAGATAAGTTCTGCAGGCAAATTAAAAACAAAATGATAATCAGTTCCTTAAAGAGACTTCAAAATTTGCCTTCATTCTCTGTAGTCTTTACAAGGCTAAATGATACAATGAATGGAATGAAAGTCACCCTTTAGACTGGATCTACTATTTCTATCGCCCTCCTCCTTCCTGTGGATTTCTTAACCTAGAAATGCCATTCAAGCAAATAGTCATCTTCTATTGGGAGCAAAGCTCTTTATACTAAATGTTCCCAATTAACTAAAAACAATACGACCATTCATGCCTTAAGAGAGCACTGGAAAAGGGCTGTCAGGGGCAAACCTTGGCTTTGGTAGCCGCTGAGGCAAGAGCAGCTGCTGCGGCTGTGGCAACATTTCCTTCGGAAATTTCATGTTCTACTTTCTTCTTCCCAGTATCACTTTCTCTTTCTTTACACGTATCAGTGAGTTCTTTGTTCTCTTCAGTCTCCTTTTCTTCTGAAAATATCAGAAAGCTTTATTACTAGTGTGCCCAGTCTCGAAAATCCATCTTTCTCCTCACCTCCACCACCGTAACAAACTAGGACTGATGTGACAAAGAGATGTCAATGCTTTTCTCATTTCTTTTTTTTTTTGAGATGGAGTCTCGCTCAGTTGCCCAGGCCGGAATGCAGTGTCGCGATCTCGGCTCGCTGCAAGCCTCCCGGGTTCACGCCATTCTCCTGCCTCAGCCTCCCAAGTAGCTGGGACTACAGGTGCCCGCCGTCACGCCCAGCTAATTTTTTGCATTTTTAGTATAGATGGGGTTTCACCGTGTTAGCCAGGATGGTCTCAATATCCTCAATACCCGCCTCGGCCTCCCAAAGTGCTGGGATTACAGGCGTGAGCCACCGCACCCGGCCAATGCTTTTTTCTTTTTAAGAGTTCTGTTGAGGCATTCCATGCATTTAGGTTTGCCTCTATTGGGGGACATGTTTTCTAAACAGTACACTTGTTTTCCTATCATTTTGCTAAGTTCTATGTGGAGGTCCCTTGGATATATATATAAAGGAAAATTCAGGGGAACTAAGTCTAAAACCAACATACTTGCCTATCAGTCAATGAAATGCCCTAGGAACTCTAGGGTCTGTAGGAAATCAGAAGCTGACAACAGACTACTTCTGTAAGCCTGACAGGCATGATGGGGTGTATCAGCAACTGACACAGAAAATAAAATGGCAAGTCTGTGAGGTGACTTCAATACTGCTGAATAACTTGTTGTTCTACATATTAAAAGCACAGAGAAAAAGTGTAGCCACCAGCATTAGTATTAGTACCTATGTGATAAATGAAACTCAATTACATACTTACTGTTACATTAAGAAACAAACCCAAAATAAAGGGGAAATATTTCTATATAAACCACCTTCATTTCTCCAGTGCCTTTTACAGTTTCACATAAGAATATATAAGGAGTTTCCTCAAATTACCTGATTTGGTATCCTCACTCACTTCACTATCCTGTTCCTTTTCACTATTTTTTTCATTTTCTCCATCTTGTGCTTTATCACCTTCATCTGTTTCATTTTCCACTTTGTTTTCTGCCTGAAAGGGATACAAAGCAAGAGGACAGGCAGTGAGCAAAAAAACCCCAGACCTTTTTACGAGTAATTATCTTAGACTAGCAAAAGGTTCCAATATTTTTGGCAAGAAGTAGACTAGATTCAAAAGTGACTTGTAGAGAACAGCTGGAAAAAAACTAATAAATTCTGAGCAATACTTTCTACCACTTCAACACTTGAGTGCTCACAAGATATTCCTCCGAAGCACAGAGTCACTGCCCTCTCTGCATACTCTGCTGTAAAGCAAGGTTTACAATGCCCAAAGGAAAGTGAAGGGAATGAACTGATATTATTTGTTGACTAAAAACAGGCCAGGCCGGGTGCAGTGGCTCACACCTATAATTCCAGCACTTTGGGAGGCTGAGGCGGGCGGATCCACCTGAGGTCAGTAGTTTGAGATCAGCTGGCCAACATGGTGAAACCCTGTCTCTACTAAAAATACAAAAAAGAAATTAGCCGAGCATGGTGATGGGAACCTGTCATCCCAGGTACTCGGGAGACTGAGGCAGGAGAATCCCTTGAATGCCCAGGAGGCAGAGGTTGCAGTGACCCAAGATCACGCCATTGCACTCCAGCCTAGGCAGCAAGAGTGAGACTCCATCTCAAAAACAACCACCACCAGCCGGGCGCGGTGGCTCACGCCTGTAATCCCAGTACTTTGGGAGGCTGAGACGGGCAGATCACGAGGTCAGGAAATCGAAACCATCCTGGCTAACACGGTGAAACCTCGTTGTATTAAAAAAACAAAAAAATTAGCCGGGCGTAGTGGTGGGCGCCTGTAGTCCCAGCTACTTGGGAGGCTGAGGCAGGAGAATGGTGTGAACCCGGGAGGGGGAGCTTACAGTGAGCTGAGATCACACCACCGCACTCCAGCCTGAGGGACTGAGCAAGACTCCGTTTCAAAAAGAAAAAAAAGGAAAAAGAAAAAGAAAAAAAACCCCACCACCACCACATACACGTGTGTGTGTGTGTGTGCGTGTACTTAATAATTACTGATTTAAAGAATTAAGAGCTTTTAAATTTCACACCATCAACAAAGAAGTTGAAATACTGCTGGAAAAGTTGACAAAGTCTTTTAATACAGCCATCTGCTAACAGTTTCAGGAAGAACCATGAGAGAACATCAGTGATCATGCTTTAGAAACTGAAAAAACTGCAACTGACTATCACTGACTTCATGAGGCTATATTGTTTGCTTAGAGGTAGGGTCCCCATACAGTGCCTAGGGTGGTTTCAAAGTCCTAGTGTCAAGTGATCCTCTAACCTTCCAAGTAGCTGGGACTACAAGTATGAGCCACCACACCCAGCTGAGATTATTATAGGAATTAAATGAAATAAACAATGTGAAGTACAAATATCATCTTTAGAATGCTGCAGGAACTATAATCAATTTCATTATTACCCTCACCCTCCCCTTGACTATATACAATTTTAGAATACCACATGTAATCAAGACCTTCAATCCTGGCTTATATATATTCACTCAAATAGTGACTGACTGCTCACTACGTGCAGTAAAAGCATTAGGAATACAAAGGCCCAGAGGCTGGGCGTGGTGGCTCATACCTATAATCCCAACACTTTGGGTAGCCAAGGAGGTGGATCACCTGAGGTCAGGAGTTTGAGACCAGCCTGGCCAACGTAGTGAAACCACGTCTCTACTAAAAATACAAAAATTAGCTGGATGTGGTGGTGCGTGGCTGTAATTCTAGCTACTTGGGAGGCTGAGGCAGGAGAATCACTTGAACTCAGAAAACGGAGGTTGCAGTGAGCCAAGGTTGCGCCATGGCATTCCAGCCTCGGTGACAGAGTGAGACTCTGTCTCCAAAAAAAAAAAAAAGGAATACAAAGGCCTACATCCTGACTTTTGTAACCTCCTGTTCTGCCACACCCATGATGCATTTACAGTCTCCTACAGAAGAGAGATTGAGCCACTAACACACTGGCTTTAGTGTCTCTCCTCCCCAACCAGTGTGAATCTTTGATTTTCTAACCTCTATTTCAATCTTTATATTTCTACCTACTCTTTAAAACCTACCTCAAATGTCATCTTCTCATTAATTATTTTCTAAAGATTCTTCAGCAGGCAGTTAGCCCTCATAGGAAATCACTTATTATTCTGTCATTCTCTTCTGGCACAAGTATAGGACTCAAACCTTACAATTCGATATTCACAAGAACCACAACTTTTTTTCTGTTGTTGCTGAGACGGAGTCTCACTCTGTTGCCCGGGCTGGAGTGCAGTGGCACGATCTCGGCTCACTGCAAGCTCCACCTCCCGGGTTCACACCATTCTCCTGCCTCAGCCTCCTGAGTAGCTGGGACTACAGGCGCCTACCACCACACCTGGCTAATTTTTTTGTATTTTTAGTAGAGATGGGGTCTCACCATGTTAGCCAGGATGGTCTCGAACTCTTGGCCTTGTGATCCGCCCACCTCAGCCTCCCAAAGTGCTGGGATTACAGGCGTGAGCCACTGAGCCTGGCCAAGAACAACTTTTGTATTCATATTCCCAACTTGTGTATTCATATTCCCTCTTCTTTTGTGGGAAATTTGTATTCCTTCTTCTTCTAATACAATGAAATTAGATGTTTAAAATATAAAAGAAGAGGATAGGGAGTGAATATACCTTCTCCCCAGTGAATAAATGAAAAATGTCCCATATTATATCTTGTGAGAACTATATCTTAAACCAGCGAAGTCCAAGTAGCAGATAGAATTACTTACAGTTCCCTAAGAGGGACTCAAAAACACCAAAAAAACAAACCATTATGCTCCAAAAGGCATGCTATCTGTGGTTTTACTGCTGTGAGACTTTACCTTTTCAGGCTGCTGACCATCAGGGTCGGCTTCCATTTTTTCCTCTTCAGCTCCTTCTACAAGTAAAAGAATAAAAACAAGTGCTCCAATGTGGAAAAAGGTAAAACTATTATACAACTGTAAGCATGTCTGAAATACAAATATACACAGTAATACATACGAATATAGCCATACAGTCAGGCACAAAACACACTATATGATAAAGTTCAAAAACACGTAAAAAGTAATCTATGGTGTCAGAACTCAGAACAGTGGCTAACAGGGGGAAGAGGTGAGTTATACAGAAAGCAGGTTCAGTGGGGAAATGGGAGGTCCTAGGGTGCTGGTACTTCTCTGTTTCTAGGTCTGGAATTTGTAGAAATGAACTAGGCTGTCTGCTTATGATTTTCGATTTTCTGTATGTATTAAAATATAAAGGCAAAATAAAAATAATTCATTATTATTTAACAGATGCTTGACAAGTATATATTTTGACTCAGGTACTGGGGGAAACACTGCTGACCCAGATATTCACTGAAATCTCAAGAGGATAACATTTTGGCTAAACAGGACACAAACCAACAAGTCCAGCACAGTATAACAGAGGCACGTATCAACAAATTACAAGAGAAAATTATTTCACATATGAGAAAATTATTAATTTTCTATAATTTTAGGAACCTAATAAACTAATGTCAAACTATATAAGCAGCCAGGCATGGTTGCTCATGCCTGTAATCCCAGCACTTTGGGAGGCTAAGGCGACTGGATCACGAGGTCAGGAGTTCGAGACCAGCCTGGCCAACTTGATGAAACCCTGTCTCTACTAAAAATACAAAAAAATTAGCCAGGTGCGGTGGTATGCACCTATAGCCCTAGCTACTCGGAGTCTGAGGCAGGAGAATTGTTTGAACCAAGGAGGCGGAGGTTGCAGTGAGCCGAGATTACAACACTGCGCTCCAGCCTAGGAGACAGAGCGAGACTAACAAACAAAAAAACAGACCAACCGGCCAGGCGCGGTGGCTCCAGCCTGTAATCCCAGCACTTTGGGAGGCCGAGACGGGCGGATCACGAGGTCAGGAGATCGAGACCATCCTGGCTAACACGGTGAAACCCCGTCTCTACTAAAAAATACAAAAAACTAGCCGGGCACGGTGGTGGGCGCCTGTAGTCCCAGCTACTCGGGAGGCTGAGGCAGGAGAATGGCGTGAACCCGGGAGGCGGAGCTTGCAGTGAGCCGAGATCCGGCCACTGCACTCCAGCCTGGGCGGCAGAGCGAGACTCCGTCTCAAAAAAAAAAAACAAAAAAAAAAACAAAAAAAAAACCAGACCAACCAACCGTATAAGCAAAAACTGAGAATGGCAGGGAAGAAACAAAGACAAACATCATCATAAAGGATTTGAACACACCTCTCAATAAGATATAGAGCAGATATGAACACAGAAAAACGGTACAAATGTACATATGCTGAATTCTACATCCACCAATTAGGCAATAATACACATTAATTTCAAGCTCACACAACATTTTAAACATAGTGATTACCAATTAGGTCACAAAGTTTTGAGTCCTCACAAATTTCAAATAACCACTATCATACAGATCAATTTATCCAACCACAATGCAAAGAAATCAGATACTTAAAATATAAAAATAAACTTCTCTATGCATGGAAACTCAATTGTGGGAAGTAAAAGTAGTTATTACAGAGAATGTAAAGTCTTAGGTTTAAATCAGAAAAGAAATAAAGGCTCAAAGTATATGAGCTCTATGTCCTTTATGATATAGCAGAAAAAGAAAACAATATAGAAGATAGGGAGGAAAAAAAAAACAGAAAAAAAATACACTATAGATTTAGAAAAATATACGAGAATTAATATTCCCAAATGTTGGTTCTTTGAAATGATTAATAAAAATGATAAATGTAACTGATCAAGAAAAGAGAGAGATGGCATAAACAAACTATATGAGGAATGGAAGAAAGATCATGACAGAACAAGGTCAAAAAGGAAGTGATAATATATTCTGAATAACTTTATTCCAACTAAAATTTAAAACTTAGATCAAATGGGAAAATTACTAAAAATTTATTTTTATCAAACTGATTCCAGAAGACAAAGAAGTCCTGAATTGTCTTTATATTAGTTAGAAAAACTGAAATAACTATAAAACTTAAAAATACACTAGTCCAGATGTTTTATACTGGGAAATTCTACCAAACTCTTAGGGAAAAGATGATTACAATCTTACATAATCTTTCCTAGAGTATAGAAAAAGAAGGAATTCCCCTACCTCAGTCTATGATACCAGTATAACTTTGATTCACAAATCAAATAGGGATAATGGGTAAGAAATATTAGAGGCTAGGCTAAATCTCATTTGTAATCACAAATGAAAAACTAAGCAAATTATATGAAAACAGAATAGAGCAATGTGTTAAAAAAGAAAACCTATACTAGACAGAGTAATATGAAGGATGACTTAATATTAGTACTCTACAAACCTATTTAATTAAATGCATGTAAAGTATCTGACAAAACTCAGTATTGTCCATTATAAGCTCCTGGAAAATTAAGGCTACAAAGAAGGTTCCTGATCTCCAAAAGGCTGTTCTCAAAAATCCTACAACAAATAACATTATTCACTGAAAGATGCCAACAGTATTCTCTATATAAAATTAAGAGCAAGATAAGAATACAAATATTATTATTTCCCTTCAATATTGTCATACAGGCCAAAGCCAACACAGTTAATTAAGAAAAAAATCTTAGGCTGGCCATAGTGGCTCATGCCTCTAATCCCAGCACTTTGGGAGGCCAAGGTGGGTGAATCACTTGAGTCAAGGAGTTTGAGACCAGCCTGGGCAACACTGTGAAACCCCGTGTCTACAAAATATACAAAAACTAGCCAGGCATGGTGATGAGCACCTGATCTCAACTACTCAGGAAGTTGAGGGAGGAGGATCGCCTGAGCCTAGGAGGTCAAGACTGAAGTGAGCTGAGACCTTGCCACTGCACTCCAGCCTGGACGACAGAGTAATACCCTGTTTCAAAGGAAAAAAGAAAGAAAAAAGGAAAGCTGAAAAGATATGCAGAGAGTAAAACTGTCTACATACAAAAATCTGCAGAAAACTTATTAGAAATAATGATAGGGTTTTGGAAGGGAGTGAGTTATAAAATTACCATATAAAACCAACTGCTACATTTTGATATGTTAACAAAAAAAAATCTAGATAAAGACACATGAAAAAATAAAACTTGAATGTTATCTTAAACAAGACACAAAAAGCACTTAGGATAAAAATGACAAACAACACTTTTAAAAAATTACTCTTATGTATATTTTTAAGAGAAACGGTCTCCCTCTGTAATGCAGGTTGAAGTGCAGTGGTGAGATCACAGCTCACTGCAGCCTCAAACTCCTGGGCTCAACTGATCCACCCACCTCAGCCTCTTCAGTAGCTGGGATTACAGGCGTGCACCACTGTGTCTGGCTAATTTTGTTTATTTTTTGATAGAGATGGTGGTTTCACTATAATGCACAGGCTAGTCTTAACTCATAGCCCTAAGCAATCCAACCACTTCTGCCTCTCAGAGTGCTGGGATTACAGATGTGAGCTATCGCATCCATCCCTGAAACATAGAACTATTAAAATCAACGACTTCTCTTCATTAAAAGACTCCAAAAGAAAGAAGAAAGAAGTAGCATGTAGTGTAGTAACTTGCAAAAGATTAGTACATAAGGCTGGGCGCGGTGGCTTAAGCCTGTAATCCCAGCACTTTGGGAGGCCGAGACGGGCGGATCAGAGGTCAGGAGATCGAGACCATCCTGGTGAACACGGTGAAACCCCGTCTCTACTAAAAAATACAAAAAACTAGCCGGGCGAGATGGTGGGCGCCTGTAATCCCAGTTACTTGGGAGGCTGAGGCAGGAGAATGGTGTAAAACCCCGGAGGTGGGGCTTGCAGTGAGCTGAGATCCGGCCACTGCACTCCAGCCCGGGCGACAGAGCGAGACTCCGTCTCAAAAAAAAAAAAAAAAGATTAGTACATAAGATCTATACAGAAAAAGACAAATACTCTACAAAAGTAAGGAAGTCAGGAAGAGTTGCTTTACAGGAGTACATATGACCAATAAATATAAGAAAAGATATTAGGTTTTGCCCAGTGCAGTGGCTCAGACCTGTAATCCCAACACTTTGGGAGGCCAAGGCAGGTGGATCACTTGAGGTCAGGAGTTCGAGACCAGCCTGGCCAACATGGTGAAACCCCGTCTCTACTAAAAGTACAAAAATTACTGGGTGTGGTAGCGCATGCTGGTAATACCAGCTACTCAGGAGGCTGAGGCAGGAGAATGGCTTGAACCCAGGAGGTAGAGGCTGCAGCGAACCAACATCGCGCCTCTGCACTCCAGCCTGGGCAACAGGGCGAGACTTTGTCTCAAAAAAAAGAGAGATACCTAATATAAGACCACGATGAAATGTCATTTTACACCTGCTAGATCAGCAGAGTCTAACACCAGAAAGGACTGGATCAAGTGTTGCTGCCTGAAATATAAAACAGCACATACACTTTGGAAAAAAAAACTGAAATTTCCAGCCCACGTATGGTGGCTCATGCCTATAATCCCAGCAATTTGGGAGGCAGAGGCAGGAGGATCACCTGAGTCCAGGAGTTTGAGACCACTCTAGGCAATGTAGTCAGACTCTGTCTCTATCAAAAAAGCAAACAAACAGACAAAAAGCAATTAGCCACGCATGATGGTACATGCCTGTAGTCCCAGCTACTCAGGAGGACTGCTGAGCCTGGGAAGTTGAGGCTGCAAAGAGCTATGATCACCCCACTGTACTTCAGTTTGGGTGGCAGAGCGAGACCCTGTCTGAAAGTAAGCAAACAAACAAAAAAATTGGAATTTCCTAAAATGTTGTTACTCATAGAACCAGTCCACAACAAAATAACGATTTGAGCAAGACGTGTTCAAAGTTCAATATTCAAGAACGTTCACTACTCTTCCTTCACTGACAAATTCATCTGATGAAAAAGTGACAAATGACATAGACAGCAAGCTTAGTGATGCA